ACATTTTTATTAAATATAAAAATTATTTTCATTAAACACTTTTATTAAATTAACAAAATGAATTGCGTTGAACACTTTTAGTAAATTAATGAAATGAATAGGAATATTAATAACATCGCATTGTTCAATACACTCCAAAATTTATTCGCTTCATTCAAATAAAAAGCAGGATTATACACCACTGCAAAGACCCTCTCTTCGTGACAGTCAAGAGTGAACTGAATTTCTCTCTCGCAAATTCATTTTTCCTAAATTTTATTTCCCGAATTTCTTAGAAATGCAAAACAAAGCCCATTCCGAGAAAACACAGGGGCATTTAAATCCACACCTCGGAGGTGGTACGGATTGGGGGAAGCGCTCGAGTTCGAAAAAATCGATATGAGGGGAAATGCGACTATAACGAATGCGACTATAACGAGAGTCTACTGTACCTTGGAATTGAATTTTTTTTAGAGTGCATTAAAATTGGCAAAATGTGGCCACATCAGCAGCACCAGTATCACCCTGGTATACCATCGTTAACAGAACAAATCGACACGAAGCAGTATCAAGCCATAATGCCACCTGATACTGCTGGCCAAACCATGACGATGCATCAGCATCAAAGAGAACCCGCACGGGAAGCCACTGCTTGTTCAAGGTCAGTCAGATGATTCCGGGGGAACATAAGCTTCAACGCGTCATTCACATTATTATTCCTTGTTTGAGAGAGAAAAAAATACTAATGCCCTCAGCCCCCCCTGCCCTCTTTTCCGGCCTCTTTCTTGTGAATTTTTTGACTCGGATGATCATGAAGATCTTGTCCAGACGATTCACTGGACCCGTTCTGGTCTCGTCAACTCCCATCGCTTGCCCTTGGGGCATCTTCGTCCGTATGTGTGTGTAATCGTCAAATTTTCAGTGAACGAAATTGCGTAACCGACCGATTAGAGCGATGAACCGGGACGACACAAGTTTGTTTGACCAGTCAAATCAATTTCTAGTTAATCTTTCTCAGATCAATTTTCTGTGTTTCGCATTCTCTCTTTTGCATGAAAAATTGAATTCGCTGACAGGCGCAATTTTTACACGCCAGATTAACTGCGCAGTGGAGGATTCAAGGGACTAGTACCCAGCTGTGAAGAGTTGTTGTAGAAAAGAAATAGTTGTTGGTCAACTGAACTTTAAAAAGGTGGATAATGAAAGAAATGATATTCACAAAGCTGGTTCTTCGGCTTCGGCTGAACCAGGAAAGTCAGGTGGTTTCATTGTCTCTGAATGATTATTTAATTTGATGAATATTTCATTCATCGATAAACTGCACGAGACGGACACATGTGCCATCAGTGGAACTAATAGAAAACATTTTCTGATGGGTCATCAGTGAAGGCTGAACCGGGTATTTAGGCATTTTAATGAGATTACAAGGTTGCATTCCGGGGGAATTGCTTGTTGCTCTCATTGAAGAGCTCGTGAAGAGTGTTTGTTTATTGATTATTAAGGTTTTATTCTCACAGTGAGGGTTTCCCCGGCGGTCGAAGAAAGTCTAAGGACTATTTTGTAGTGTTAGTCGGTAAATCTCATGCTTTACGCTCATAAATTTTTGTTACCCGTCACTGTAATAACTCTTGGCAGTACTTGCACACATGAATGATTATAGAACCGAGGTAATCTTTTTACGATGTGCAGAATATTGAACAAAGTGGACGCATCAGAATAAAAGTCAGGCATGAATATAAACGTTTAGAACCATAGATATCAGCAATTTAAGGTGTTTCATCTGAAATGTTGAAATAATTTTAAAAAATGGAAAAATTTAGGGAATAAGTGTCTGAGTACACTACATCACTGGGAATTTTTCCAAAATTTTTGCACAATATTGCGTTTGAGAAAAAAAATGTTGAATTTTCAATGTTTTTGTGTCATCTCCACCCGTAAGACCGAGATTATGGCGTTCTAAATTCGAAGATTTTTTCTGACACCTCTTAAATCAATGAAGAATGCGCCAAAAACTAGTATGCGAGAAAGTAAATCTTGATTTCACTTTCATGGGACTTAGCCCTGTTCTAGATCTTTTGACCAAGATATACTGAAAAATAAAGCCCCAAATCGTCGATTTCTGCGGTTTTTTGGTCACTTCACCATGAGATGTGACAATGCCACTGTCGACCTCATTGGCGCGAAATTTAAATACC